TTCAAGTCACTTTATTTATTCAAGCCATTGACACGTGTCATCAGTGACTAATTGTGACCAAATTAGCGTTCAGTGTGACTGTCTGTGACCAATTTTGTGATACTTGAATATGATCAAGTCACAATCGGTCACAATTAGCACAAAATTGGTCACAATCAGTCACGGTACACATATATTTGGTCACAAATGGTCACCACAAACAAATTCGCCAACACCACGGACCAGCACCACAATCTTACTCATTTGACTGGCCCTCCCCACCCCTACCTCCACCTCCTAAAAAAATTACAGGAAAAATCTCAAGTCACTTTATTTATTCAAGCCTCTGACACGTGTCATCAATGATTAATTGTGATCAAATGTGTATTCAATGTAACTAACTGTGACCAAATTAGTGTTCAGTGTGACTGTTTGTGACCAATTTCATGCTAATTGTGACCGAATGTGACTTGAATATGATCAAGTCACAATCGATCACAATTAGCACAAAATTAGTCACAATCAGTCACAGTACACACATATTTGGTCATAAATGGTCACCACAAACAAATTCGCCAACACCATGGACCAGCACCACAATCTTACTCATTTGATTGGCCCTGAATCCATATCAATGCCATTAATTCACAAGTGTATTTACAGAAACTAGATGCTGCCATAGTTGCATTTCTGTGTTCATAAATGTATCAATCTTACTCTTTTTTTTTATTAGCTGTTAAACTGAACAAAACATGGTACATTTGATAAGCCATAGCTGCTTAAATTATTAAAGGAAAATATTCTTAACTTTTACAGAAACTAGATGCTGCCGTAGTTGCATTTCTGTGTTCATAAATGTATCAATCTTACTCATTTTTTTAATTAGCCGTTAAACTGAACAAAACATGGTACATTTGATAAGCCATATATTTTAAAGGAAAATATATGTTATCCAAAACCTGTCTCTAAATTTTCCAATCTATTGAACTCCGTCATTTCTTGTATGTTAGCTGCAATTTTAGAATAAGCTCACATTATTAATTTCCCAGAACATTCAAAAGTTAAAATCCCAAAAACCCCCCTCCAAACACACCCAACAATGCACCACCCCACAACCTTTCCAATAGCGGAAGAAGGATTTTGGCCGCCTCCTCCACGTCCGTCACCAGAAACAACCCCATCTTCAAATCCTTCTCCCCCAAGCACACCCCAGCACACATTATCACCACCTTCTCCACACAATCTTCTCCACACATAAAATTCGAATTGATGTTCATACAATCATGCCCTTCAAAAACTCCATCAGTCTGTCCAAATTACAGTATGAAGAACCACCTTCACTGATGGCCTTTTTCCCCAAATTTGCCATACGATTAGCCCTCTACCAGAACTCATCCCTTCTCTCCACCATTATATCCCTAACCATCTTCTCGATGATCATACGATCACAATTATCTTTTATATCCAATCCGAGCTTCCAAACATCACTAAAAAACCTACTGTTTATTGTCTGATCTGCAAAATAAGGCCAACAAAGCATAGGGATTCCCCCTGCTACACTCTCCAGAATCGAATTCCATCCACTATGACGCCGCCGGAGAAATCCCTCCATACCCAGCACACTTGTTACCATTAAATCCATCTCTTTCTTTTTCCAATATGTATATTTATCTTCATCCTTCCCTACACAAATACAATAGTTAAAAAATCAATTCACTTTCAACAGGATAGTTCAATTCATCCAATATACCAATTTGCACATTTAATTGGAATAGAATAGTACCTCTTAGAGGCACCGAGGCACCTCGCCGGCATCAATAGTTTCTTGGATGCAAAAATTGGCAGTTTAAATTTTAAATTGGTTAAGCCAGATCTGAGCACCAATTTCTTGATGCAGTTAATCTGAAGCATTTAGACATAGCAGCGTTTGTGGTCTCCGGTGATGGCGCGAGGAAGGACAATAGAGAGAGAGGAAAGAGCGAGGAGGGAGAGACGAGAGAGAGGGCGTGGGTGGGTGGGTAGAGATGATTCAGAGATAGATATAAATTAGAGACGAGATTGAAAATTAGGTTATAATTAGGGTTTTAATTATTAATTTAATTAGCACCTGATTTTTTATTAAATCAACATTACACCTGATTTTTGAATTTGAAAACTTAAATACCTTGTTTTAGGTAATTTTCTCATATTATATCCCGCTTTTTCTACCCTAATTTATTTCTTTCAACAATTCACCATCTTCACTATGTGTCTCTACCTCTCTATCTGTCTTTCGGTCTTTCTTGCTTAATTTTATTTAAAACCTCCCAAATACTCACGAATTAATCCCAAAATTCTTGTATCTCCCTGTTGATTCTATTATATGCTTTGTTCTACAGTTCTTTTTTTTTTTATTTTGCAATTGCGGAAGAAATTTTAAAACATATATAGTTTGAATCGGGAGATCAGAGGAGATTGTTTCTTCTTCACTTCCTTAAGAAGGTTTTTTTTTTTCCTTTTTTTGGTTCTTAAATTGGATTGTCACATCTCTTTGCACTAGAATCCAATACAACACAAGACCTCTACAACTCTGGGCGTTAAATTAAATGTTATGTAAGTTTTTAGGCGAGTTGTTAATGAAACCAGATTGTGCCCTTTTAACATGTTATGGTACAAGAAGTTGATCTTTCTAGATTTACAAAATTCTTTCTCCATCTCATTACGTACAGAGACTTATGTAAGTTTTTAGGCATTGAAACGTTTAGTCCAAGGAGCGGCTGACTTTTATGAATTTGTCCACATTTACATTGATTGGTTTACTGCATATCTTGGATTTGTTTTGAACATTTAAATGAACCTTATTGATTGGTTTAATGCTTATCTTGGTAAATTCTTCATTTTTCCTTTTTTAGATCAAATCTATACTAAGCTATGATAAATTATTGCTGACCTTATTTAAGTTTGGAAATCTAATTGTTAGTCTAAAAGCCAAAGGTTAGGAGAAATTCGAGAAAAACAAATCGCTCACACATACAGTCGCAAGGGATTTGCTAGATTGCGTGAAGATATAGTATTATTCCACAAGCCTTCTTTAATTTGACGAAGTGAGTCATTTTTTTTCTAGATTCTTATTATGTTATTCTTCATTCTTTTAGCAAAAGAAGAGCAACAATACATTCTCTATAGGTCAAAATGAGGTTTGGACAGTAGTACGTATAAAAAAGAATGGTGAACCTATATGCAAACTTGTTGCAGAAACGCTTGTAAGTATAAATAATTTATTTTTTCTAGTTCTATATATATGTGTGTGTGCGTGCGTGGACGGAGTCAGCACCCAACTAGCCGGCATCGCCGTCCGTGTAATAATTACATGTTAATGAAGCTTTCAAGTTAAATATGTACAACTATACTCGCTTTCAACAAACGTTATTATAACTCATATGGTAGAGCGCTTGTTTTGCACGTGAGAGGTACTCGGTTTGATTCTCCTCACCACCACTTCTTTTTTAATTTCTTTAACATAATAAATAATAATTAAACAAATCTATACTACTTTCTTTTCATTAACATTGCCATGAGTGTTGTATCTCAAATGAAAAGTCCTTGCCTCACATGTAAGAGGTAAGGGGAGGTAAGGGGTTCGATTCCCCTCACCTCCTCTTTTTTTTTTTTTTTTTTTTTTNTTCAACAAAAGTTATTGCTTGTTTTGCATGTGAGAGGTACCCGGTTCGATTCCCCTCACCACCACTTCTTTTTTTAATTTCTTTAACATAATAAATAATAATTAAACAAATCTATACTATTTTGTTTTCATGAACAATGGAATGAGTGTTGTATCTCAAATGAAAAGTCATTTCTTTACACGTAAGAGGTAAGGGGTTCTATTCCCCTCACCTCATTTTTTTAATTAACACAATAAATAATAATTAAACAATTATTATTATTATTATTATTATTATTATTATTAAATAATTTCTCTAAAAAAATTTGTTGACTCAAATTATTATTTCATAATATATGCTTTTATTGTTCGATTTTATCTATTTATTTTGTAAAATTCAAATTTGGATAATTTAAGTATTGATCTTTATTCTTTTAAGAGTTCGAAAAATATTTTTCTTTTTAGGGTGAAAAATAACTCTAAAATTCAATGTTCTAAAAATTTTGTCATTGTCTTTTAATCAATACTTTACGCATAAATTTTATCTTATTTCACTTAAATTCATAAAAAAAATTGAAATTTGATCATTCGTTTATGATTCAAAAAATGTATTTTTATTCCTTATTATTTTGGGTTGTATTAAATTATATTTTCATATGTATATGATTTTTACATTTTAGTGCATTTATATATTGATTGGAGATTCTTTATTTATAAATTAATTAAATATTAGTAAACAATCTCGCTATATTGAGCAGTCGCTTGATGACTGGTTGGCGCTCTACCCTTGCTCACTCGAGCAGTTGGATCCGTTCCTGCATATGTGTGTGTGCGCGCGGCGCGCATATCTATACTTATATATTGTCTTTCAAGAAAATTTGAAAGAAGCGAGTCAGCAAGTGTCTAAAACTAACATAAAAGAAGATACTCTTTCAAAAGTATTTGGTCCAGAGAATAGTGGATTATTACGAGGGATTGGAGGTGGAATTTGCTATACAAAGCATTCCATATTAACTAAAAGGGAGTCTAGTATAGCTCATTTAAAGGAAGAACAAAATCATCTAAATGTTCAAGTGGCAGATATGGAGAGGACAATCAATGACTTATTGAAAAAATAGGTTAGTAAGTTTCTTTAAGTGAAATATAACTTATATGCACTTTTACTTAACATAATTTAGTTAATAGTTTTTGAATTTTTTATTTTTGTAGCCTCAGGAAAGGCAATGTGAAAAATTATATCTTATACAACTACCGTCTTCATCGGTAATATTTATCATTCCTTTTCATTGATCATATATATGCTTTCAAAGTAGATAATAATCAGGATCCTAAAATTGTGTTGTTGAACACTAGGACAAAAATAATTATTAGCAACACAAAAAAGGCACCAAACNTTGCAACACATAAAAGGCAACAATCGGTAGTTAAATGTTGCTAAAGGGGTTTATCGCAACATTCTAATACATGAATGTTGCCATTGCTTAACAAAATTGAGTTTTGGCAACATTTTTTAAGTGAATGTTGCTAATATTGCCTTTTTGCAACGTTTTTTTAGTGTTGCGATTTTTTTTTCGGAAATTTTTTAAACGTTGCGGAAGACAAAGCTTTTCTCAATTTTTTTTATTTTTCTGATCATTTCACAACATTTTAAAAACGTTGCAAAAATCCCACAACCCACTAAATCAAATCATTTTAACATTAGCCCTAACTTTTCCTCGTCTTGTCTCCGCCTCTCCTCTCTTCTTCCCCCTACTCTCTATCATCTCCATGGGTGGTTCTCTGTTCAAATTGAGGCTAAACTGAAATCGGATGCAGCAAGACGGCGTTGAAACTGGCAGCTTCGAGGCTGAAGCTATTAAGGAACAAGAAGGAAGTGCCGGTGCTTCGCCTCTGTGTCGGTGACTTTAAGCCCTAGACCAGCTACTTCGCCTCTGTAACCTACTATGAGTTTCTGAGGCTTTCTCGAAAATTGTTTCTTTTCATGCTCAAGCATTTTCACACGAGAGAATCGAAGAAGAAATGTCTTGTAATTCAATGGCATTATCCTTCCTACAGACCTCTTGGGTCAATACTAAACCGCAGTAGCTTAGCCATGGATGTCGCCTCAGTTCAGTTGCAGTAGTGACCCATCGGCCTGATCATTTAGTTTTCTGAAATTAAATTTCTGAAGGCTAGCTAAAATTTGGGCGGATTTTAACTGAAAGCCCTAGTCTTGTGACATTCCCCTTTGCTCTACTTTTGTAGGATTGAACCCTCTTCAAGAAATATCTCAACTCAAGTTAGCTTGTTTAGGCTTAATTATTAGTAATCTGCTCCTGACCTGATCTTTTTACGGATTTTCTTGTGAAGAGATTAAGGATTTAATGAATCTTGTATATTTTTTGTGTTTTGCATGAAATAGAGCAGTTTTTTATGTGGGTTTCTTGTATATTCAAGAAAATAAGCTTTGATGTTTTGGACAATGTTTGAGGTCCTTTATATGGAGATGGATCACTGATAAAGACAGGGTCTCTTAGGAAATGGAAAGAACTTTAAAATTTGCAGTTTTATGGAAAAGTTTGAATGTTATGTTTCATAAATGGGCTGTCCAATAGTGTTTTGCAAGTTGAGAGACTGATGATTTATGATGAGTTTAGGCAGAGAAACATGTTAAGATTACTGGTAGATAGTATGGGATTAGGTTTATACTTCGCAGAATCATGTTAATACAATAAATATTTTTGCCTTCCTCAGAACTTTGACACATTTGTGGATGTGTGCTCATAGATAAGGCAAGTTGATATAACGTAACATACGCTAATTTGAAAACAATATTTTCAAACAGTGATAATAGTATTCCCTCTTGGAAAATATGAAGTGGAATAACTTCTAGTCATTTGTTTCCAAAAACATGCTACTTAAATTGATACGATATTTGTAATGAAGAATACGTGTTTTGTGGCATTTAACCGTATCATCTTCATGCCAAAATTTTCTGCACAACCAAAACTTGAATTGTAATAGAGCGGAGGTTATCTTGGTTGCTGTGTTAAATCACAACCAATTATTGCGGTGGATGAACCATCAAAAGGATTGAGAATTCAAGGACAAGTGGTGAAGAAACCAAGTATTTCAGAAGATTTTTGGAGTACCAGCACATGTGATATGGAAAACAGCCAAGTTAAATCTCAGAGAAGCTTATCATCGATTAGTTTATCAAATCAGAGCCTCAATCAGTACAGTGGCACTGGAAGCACAAGCAACTGTTTTGAGTTTATAAATCATGGCAAGTTTATCTTTTTGTTTTTTCTTATGAAACTGATGAGTAAAAGTCTCATCGGTGAACAGCTCTTCAATCATCTTGAATACCCATGTGGTGCATGATGTCCATCTAACCAGTTACTAGTTATTATGTGTATGTTATGGGATTTAAGGTTAATTATACTTGTGGTTGTTAAACGTTTAGCAAAATTTCATATTGGTCACTAGACTTCATTTTGTTTCAAGTTAGTCGCTAAACTTCCATTTTATTTTAAGTTTGGTCGCTTTGTCTATTTCCGATTTTTTGACTAACAGGAAATGTGCAAGGGCAATCTAGTTATTTGCCAACTAGTTAGCAATGTTAGCTCATAGTAAAACAAATGGACATAGATGAATGACCAAATTGTCCCAAAAGTTGTAAGTTTTGCGACCAACTTGAAACAAAGTTTAAGTTCAGCAATCAGCTAGGAATAAATAAAGTTTAGTGACCAATATATAGTTTTTCTCAAGTTCAATGACCACTGGAGTGTTTAACCAAATCTTTTATCCAGCTCATGTTTAACTCTGATTAATTTCAATGCTACCTTGGACCTATATCATTTTTTGGATTATTTTGTTCTTCAAGACCACAGTTCTTTACCTTTCGTCAACTAACTAGAACTTTTATTGCAGTTGGAATGCAAATTATGAAAGCTTATTGGGCACTAGCAAGCGTTTCCCTCAGCCAATTCCTCTCTCTGTTAGTCGGTTATGCTATTGCTTGCTGCTTTCTATATATTTCTCTTGTTGTCTTTGTTTTGGATAGACCCTCATGACCTTTCAATGGCAACAGGAAATGGTCGAGTTTCTTGTGGATATATGGGAACAAGAGGGATTGTATGGTTGAGAAAGATGGTTGGTGATTCATTTTCTCTCTCAATGTCCAATTTTTTCACGATATTGAGCCTGTATAAAAAGGTTGGATGTACAGTTTCTAATAGGGAAGGGTGCGAAAAGAGAGAAACTTTAGTAGAAGTTGTTTGTGTCTGGAATATCCTATGATGTATTGATAGGTTGTGTTGTACCACATTCTAATGTTGTATTGATTCAAAAATTTGTAATGAAATTATCAATTTTTATGCAATTCCAAAATTTGTTCACAAAGTGTCATTTTCAATTTTGTGGGTCAATTACCATATAAAACTGTAAAAGAAAAAAAAAAGGTCTACGACAACGTTGAAAAAACGCTGCAAAAGGGTCTACCGCAACGTTGAAAAAACGCTGCAAAAAACTTTTTCGCAACGGTGAATAAACGCTGTAAAAAATTTTCCCTCTACGGCAACACTTGGAAAAATGCTGCAAAAACTCTTTTTTGATGTAGTGGAAGAGTGTAAATACTACACTCAACACTAAGTGTAAGCTACTAGATTAGGCTGGAATAGGAGGAGAGGTGCCGAAGTACGTTTTCTCTTTAAATAATCCAAAAGTATTGGTTCATTAAATCCCTTTAGAACCTAATGATGCGAGAGTTTGGGGGGTTGTAGTTATGAAACCTAACACATTCTTGTGGAGGCCTACTTCTAATATGACTAGTATTGAAGAATGTATTGGTACCACAGTTGCATTGCCATTTGACAAAGTTATATGGAGTAGATAGCATAGACAATAAGGTCAAATTTTATACCCTAATATTTCCGGTCACCAATTAGAGTTTTGAATCTTTTTTCTTTTACATTATTTTACAATCTAATAAGTTGTATACTTCGTTAATTTTCAGATTTAAATGCATCATTGATTTGACAAATGTGTTCTCCAAACAAGTTGCAAGAGTTACTATTGCACATTTGATTGGAGAGTGTTATTGAGATGCTGGAGGTGCTTTGCATCATGTTTTCTACCTTATGTTGATTTTTAATTGTTCCTATTTGTCAATTTCCCAACAACTTGTGTTATCTGTCTTCAACTTCCTTTAAATTAGTAGTTTGGGATTCTAGTATGGACTATTATTATTTTGTATTTTATCATAAACTAAATCTCCATCGTGTAACTTTCAAGTTACACACCACTGTACAATATTGACAAAAGTAGTATTAATTTTTGTTGGACAATGCTAAAAGTATTAGTCAATAGGTTCTGCAAAGAGTATTTTATGGCAAAACTTTGAGCTTCAGGTGACAGAGTTTGTGATCCAAAACTAAGTCTATTCTAGGATAAACAAGATTAAAAACAGAGGTTGATATAAATTAGGTTTGAGTAGTTTTGACTAAAAGCATGTTTAGGATGACTTATCTTAGCTCCAAATGTGTGGAGTACATTCAAAATAAGCCAACATAAGCCACAATCTTGGAGCTTATCTTTAAGATAATCCCCCAAACATGCTCTAACTAGGGTTTTGATCGATAGTTTGATTAGTGATATTTTAGAAGTTTCCTTAGATTTTGTCTTTGTTGTGTATTGCTGAATATAAGATTGAAATGTTCCAAGTTGAACATAGGCCTACTTCTGATATGGCTTGTATTGAAGAATGTGTTGGTACCATATTTGCCTGACCATTTGACAAAATTGTAATGGAGTAAATAACATAGACAATAAGGTCAAATTTTATACCCAATATCTTCAATCACTAATTATAGTTTTAAACTTTTTACTTCATATTATTTTACAATCTAATTAGTTGTATCACTTTGTTAATTTTCACATTTAAATGCATCATTGGTTTGACGGATGTGTTCCCCAAACAAGTTGCAAGAATTCAAGAAATTTTCTTTTGAAGAACTAGAATGAGATGATTCTAAATTTAATTTTTTTTCGTTGCATTTTCAAGTATATATTGCTTAGTATTTGATATGAGACATAACATAATTAGATTTCTCTATTGAATAGCTACACTTGTGTATTTCTACGAAAAAATATTGATGGTTGTTTGGAATTTATTATTGGCTTGGTTATTGTTGTTCATGTTTTTAGTACCAAACAAAGTGATGTTGAATATTTACATTTGATAATTAAGGAATTAGGAATGCCATGCAATATTTATACATTATAATAAAAAATGTTATTGAAAATAATAATTATATCAATAAATGCTATAAATATTAAAAAATTATGATGGAAAAAGAATGTTATTGAAAATGCAATCATGGAGATTAAAGAATGTTATTAAAGTCAAAATTATAACAAAAAAAATATTAAATTAAAAAAGATTGCACGAAAAAAATGCAATAAATACTAAAACATTGACGATGATAAAATGCTATATAAAATCTTTTTATAGCACTTTATAATATTATTCATAAAACGTTATAATAGAGGTATGACTTTTAATAATGCCAACTATGATAGCATTTCGAAAAATGTTATATGTTATAGAACATGATAGATATCATTTTTCACAAGCTGTAGATGACTTGATATGTTGTAATGTAAATATATGAAGCCACGTGCTTTTATCTAACTTCATCTAAAGTCATATCATCTTTCAATTCACAATTTGTTTGGAAGAAATCTATCACATACCTGCAATGCGCATAGTAAACGATCTTACCAGTGAATCTCGAATCATTGATAATAAGTATTCAATTTACATCGTTGAACCATTATCAACCACAATGCAATTCAACTTATGAATATTCTTTAAATATTCTAATACTATTATTTCATATTCGATGGCCATGCAATAAACGATTTTGTTTCCCTTTTAACCACTTTTGGTTTAAGATGCTTTATCTTTGTGAATCATCATCATACTTCTAAAATTAGTACAAGGACTTTCTACCTTTCCTCTTCCATAGAAAATCTTTCAATGACTTAACTTGTAGAATAAGCTACTCCCACAATTCATCAATTAGGAATGTTTGCTAGAAATAACGTTGTCCCCACAATTCACGGTTAGATTCAAACTTAACAATAAAAGCAATCACTTAAAAGTTTGATTGTTAACACCGTCTAATACCCCAGGACGTCAACCCCCCTGAAGCCCTCTACACTCACATAGGCTGTCTACCATTACGAGACCATTGACCCCCACTATACTTAGCCAAATGAATGACCATGAGATAGACGAAAACCACCCAACAACAAGCATGGGCATAACCAACCTCTAGATGAGTGGGGGTTGACGCTATAGAACGTAGGGGAGTGGGAAGGCATGCGTGGGACACGTGGTACAATGAATCATGGAACAGTGGCATGCCATTCGGTGCCTATAAATACCCCAATGTGGAAAAAGGTATGAGTTCTTGAAACCCGAACTATTTTGAATTCCAATACATTCTCTTTCCATTCTCTTAAACCGTATACTAATTTTCACATCGGAGGTACAACGGGGGAGAGAGCCCCAACCTCATTTTAGAGGTAGCAAACACTGATCGGTTTAGCTGGAACACCATTCACGTCAGGGAGGATACGGAATTTACCTCACTAATATTTCATTGGTGCCGTCTGTGGGAATCTACTGAACAAAAAAGCTATGTCAAGAAGACGGACACGGAGTGAAACACGCGTGGTCGGGAACACGGCAGATGCGGAATCGGAGTCTGTTGCAAGGGGTCATGACCCGCCGCCGCCACCGCAGTATGTAACGTAAGGCCAATTTAATGCCTTGGAGACACAGTTGGCAGCCATGATGACCCTCTTACAGAGCCAGACGCAAAATATCGCAGCCCCACCACAAAACTTGTCGGAAGCGGTACATGAGCAACCACCCCAGGTGGCACAAAGGTTACCCCGCCCGCTACACAGCCAACAACAGGAGACACGAGAGCCTTAGGTTTTGTGTTTCCACAGATTCCCCAACCTGTCGCAGACTTGGAAAAGAAGATAAAGGAAATGATGACTCAGAAGATAGACAATGCATCGACAAGGAGGAAGGATAGGCGTAGGCAAATGGTTCTGGAGGAGGATCTTTTTGCCCCTGAGATTATGGTCATACCTTTGCCGAAAGGTTTTAAACAGCCAATGATAGAAACATATGACGGAGTCACGGACCCGCTAGATCACCGTGGACCTTTGTTGACTTAATGAGACTTTATGCAGCCCCAGACGTACTGATGTGTAGGTCATTTCCCCCGACACTCAGGAGGGAGGCTAGAGACTGGGTGGCCACACCTAGGTGTATAAAGACGTTTGATGAATTTTCCAAGAGTTTCGTGGCAACTTCATGAGCAGCAAGAGAAAACGAAAGATGGCCATTGGATTGATGCATGTGGTGTAAGAGAAAGATGAATCTCTTCAGGAGTATTTGGCTAGGTTTAGCCGGGAAACACTTGGTATAAGGGACCTACAAATGTCTGCAGTAGTGACATCGTTAATGAATGGGATGCGGAACCGGTCAGGCAGAGACGAGAGGAGGTCAAAGCCTTCACCCCTTCGAATACTCAGCAGGAGAAGATATTGATGGAAATTCGAGACATAAAAGAACTCGAATAGCCGAGGCCGATGGCAGCATCAGTCGACAAGCAGGATAAGAATAAGTATTTTCATTTCCATAAGAACCATGGACACGAAACCGAAGAGTGTATACATTTGAAGAAGGAAATCGAACGCCTATTGAAGCGGGGTTTTTTGACTAAATACACGAGAAATGATCAAGGCAAGCAAAAAGTTGATGATCGGCCACCGCCCAGAGCCGGTGTCATAAATGTGATTATTGGAGGGATCGCTTCAGGAGGAGACTCGAATTCGGCCAGAAGAGCTATGCACGCACAGTCGGGGTCTGCTTCATTCAAAAAAAAGGCCAGGTTTAATCAAAGTATCACTTTTGATGAGGAAGATTTAGTAGGAGTGGCGGCCCCCATGATGATGTCTTGGTGATAGTCGGCGACATAGCAGACTACGATGTCAAAAGGGTGCTAGTCGATGGTGGTAGTGCCATGAACGTTCTCACTTGGGAAGCTTTCGTGGGGTTGAAAATCCCTTTAGAAAA